TATATATATATATATATATATATATATATACATTTAAGCAATGTATAAAGTATATATATATTTATAGATATAGATATAGTATATATAATACATATATAAGCTATATAATTTACAAGAAATTGCCTTAGATAATTTTTTTTTAAAAAAAAATAGTCTAGGCCCGTTTAGGCCCGTTTAGGATCGGGTCGGGCCCACATAACCCGAGACCATTACTACACGGTCCCGATTCCCGGTCTGGTTACACCCAAAAGCCCATGAAGCCCGGGTCCGTTTAAGCCCGACACACAAAGACCGGGTCCGTTTGAGCCAGGACCATTTAAGCCCTGCCCGCGAAGCTCGTTTGGGACCGGGCCCGGACCGTTTGCCAGCCATAACTTTGGTCAAGTATATTACTTCCTCTCTCATAAATTATCTGCCATATTTCTCTTTTATACTACTTTTAAAAAGCATTAATTAGAAGGGATTTTGATTATTTTACCCTTATTTATGTCTTAAGATATAATATATCTTTATTGTATATTTTTTATATTTATGTGTCATCTCCATCTTCAAGAACAATTACTACTAAGGATAAAATGAGAAATAATTTGAGATAACTATTTTTAGAAATCACTAATAGATAATTTGAGACAGATGGAGTGAAAATCTATGATATTGTTGATACTCATCTTTTTGTCCTAGCACTAACTTTAGCTGTTTCTTCCCTTCCCTTTTTTGACAGTTTTATTTAAATCTAAAACCAGAAAAAAATATTGCGTCCGATTAATACCGATTCAATTAATTAATACTGAGTTGGTGAACTTCTCCATTTTGTGTAAGTAGGAGTTAGTCAACATCCAATCATAGTATCTCATTGTCAATCTGCTCAAAGTCTTATATGCTTATTTCAAAGTGTCCCCACTGTTTTGCTGATAATTCTACACTTGTTAAATGACGAGTACAACAAAATCTGGATTAAAGTTTGTATTAAATAGCCTTTTTATTAAGCATTCTTTTTCGAATTATTATGGCCATAGGATGGGAATAGAATAATTAAGTTAAGAGAACTTTCCATAGCCTTTCATGTTTGACTCTTTTAATGTGTTTTCAACTCAGAAATTAAGAAGAGACACTTCATGCTATTTTATTTATGTATAGTTTAAAGTGTTAAAAAGTATACGCAGGATTAGAGATCAACAAATGGAATGAAGTATGTATATTCTTGTTATCATAAGTTAAAAAATTTAAATTACTTTTTCACTTATGCCAAATTAATTGATGATAGCTAAACCCGAGAATTAGGTTAACTTTGAATAAGTAAAACCTAAAACTAGAACGGAAAAAATAAAATGA